TGCGCGAAGGAGCGTGCGACAAGGGCCGCGGCGGAGCGTGCGCGAAGGAGCGTGCGACAAGGGCCGCGGCGGAGCGTGCGCGAAGGAGCGTGCGACAAGGGCCGCGGCGGAGCGTGCGCGAAGGAGCGTGCGCGAAGGGGTGCTAATCACACTAACGAGCTACGCGACAGGCCACGGTCCGTTCTCCGAGCCGCCTCACGGCAAATTTACCGCAAAATTTACTCCTGCGATGCAGCCACACAGTACACTGGTCTCCATTATAGTCTGCTCAAGTGGTGACGGTGGGGGTGGTGGGGGTCATGCAATGGAGAGCTTTGAAGCCATGCTGCATTACATGGGAAATGACTCCGGGATCAGTTTGCACAACAATGCTGCGGTATGTGGCGAATAATTAGACAGTAGCCTGCATGACAATGCTGCGTTAAGGTAGTTGATGATTTAACACTAGCAACAATTCTAGGTTACAACTTACAGGGAGAATGGAATGACAGTAGCGTGCTAAACTAGCTGAGCTTTAGGGAGAATGATTCAACAGTAGCCTGTGCAACAATGCTGGGTTACATCAAAAATACCTCTACGACAACCTGCGCAACAATGCTAGGTCATATAGAAAACTCACCAACAACTGCTCCACCACGCAAATGCATTAAACAAATAAAACAACACATATCAAAATATCGCTTGCACACAACGATGACAACAACGCCCCCTACCCCCACACCCCCACTTGACACCACGACCTGCCCCGAACGCCCACTCACTCGTTCAATCTCGACGCTCGGTCGCGTTCGCCCCGCGGTCATGCGCGTACCAACCACGCAACGCACGCGCATGCACACACGCACGCACTCACACGCATGCACGCGTGCACGCCCACGCACACACGCACGCGTGCACACGTCTTACCTGCTGGTAGCAGAGGCAGCATCGCAGCAGAGGCGTGAAGCCCTTGCAGTCGCGAACCTTCGCCATCGACTTCACCATCTCGGCGACGGCAGCCGACGAGTCCTGCAAGGCAGACGCAAGTTAAAATTCAAGCAATACGCGGAAGCGACAATATAAGCACTCACTTCAAGTTCGAGTTCGCAGTCGTGGGGGAGAGACACTCACCTCCGGCTTCGCTCCAGCCATTGACACTGCGATCCACACAGGCGCCACCCACCACACTTGGGAGAAGCACCTCAGGAGCACACTGCACACAAGGCCAACACTTAACATTGAGAGAGAGAGAGCACGGGCACCACCTACCACGAGGAGAGAGCACGGGCACCACCTACCACGAGGAGAGAGAGCACGGGCGCCACCTACCACGAGGAGAGAGAACACGGGCGCCAGCTACCACGAGGAGAGAGAGCAGAGGCGCCACCTACCACGAGCAGAGAGAGCACGGGTGCCACCTACCACGAGGAGAGAGAGCAGAGGCGCCACCTACCACGAGCAGAGAGAACACGGGCGCCAGCTACCACGAGGAGAGAGAGCAGAGGCGCCACCTACCACGAGCAGAGAGAACACGGGCGCCAGCTACCACGAGGAGAGAGAGCAGAGGCGCCACCTACCACGCTCACGAGGAAGAGACGGTGCCACCTACCACAGAGGAGAGAGAGCACAAGGCGCCACCATACCATGAGGCAGAGAAACATGGGCGCACACTACACGAGGAGAGGAGCACGAAGGCGCGCCAAACCCACCTACCACGAGAGGAGAAGAGGCCACAGGAATGCCCCCAGCCGACGACAAGGAGAAGAGGCACAGGTGACACCTACCACAAGGAGAGAGCAGCAAAAGGTGGCCACCTAACAGAGGAGATACGAGGCAGAGGCGCCACCATACGCACGAAGCAGAGAGCACGGGCGCCACCTACCACGAGCAGAGAGAGCACGGGCGCCATCCTACCACGAGGAGAGAGAGCACGGGCACCACCTACCACGAGGAGAGAGCACGGGCACCACCTACCACGAGCAGAGAGAGCACGGGTGCCACCTACCACGAGGAGAGAGAGCACGGGTGCCACCTACCACGAGCAGAGAGAGCACGGGCGCCACCTACCACGAGCAGAGAGAGCACGGGCGCCA